TGTCGTAGGTGTACCTAAAATTGACTGCAGTAGTTTTACATCGAACCTAAAGGTACAACTTAAGGCACTTGCAGTTCATGGACCAACAAAGACATGCATCTACAGACAGCACAGTCGTAGGGCGAAATAATGGCCAAGTTAGATGTTTGTAAACGTAGGCACCCATGTCACCACACATACGCCTCACACTAGTGCGGTACGGATAAAAAGCGTTTCAGTGGGTCATCGGCACAGTATTCACAAGGGGCAATCGAGTACGCATGACGCGAATGGCCACCCGTCAACGGCGTCCACAATACATCTCGGAACATGACACTTTGGCACCCACCTTCCGCACACCTTCCACGCCACTTCTTCGGCGTCACCCAGAATGAATGGAGGACCCTGGATGTTGACCTCGAACCTGGGCAACACAAATTCCTCGACCTTGAATGTCTTTTTCACCTTACGCCCGCCACTTGTCGCTACGTGTATGTTCCATTCACCCTGCAAACAATGAGACTGGAATAGACAGGCTTTCGGGCCACCAGCCAGACGGCACAGGAGATCCCCCGTGGTGATCTACCGACATATTGTTAAGCACTGAGCAGCCTTGCATGCTAATCCTGCAGTGACTGCATGGCCTGTCCGAGGGATAAGCGTTTTGAGCCAAGCTGGAAGCAACCAAACCAAAATACCAAACGTGGCACGCTTTTAGCATGTTTGACTGAAGCATTGAGTAAAGATATCGATAGCCTTCAAATCCCTGAAAGTCTAAACTAAATAGGCCATAAGGTCTTTGTTTTTCTGCGAATAGTATGAATGTTAGCAATGTTTTATGTTGCATGTACTTATGAAAACAAATGCCAGACCTTCAGTATACCAGGATTAGTGAAAGGTGTCAAAAATTCAGGGGGTTTTGCGAAAGCAGTAATTGTTTATCTGCTAAAGCACCTTTGTTGGTTAAAACCCTCGTCTTCGGATTCACTCATCCGTGGCTGGGGCGGCTTCGAGCCGCTTTGAGCGCTCTCTATGTGCCCCTGACTGGCGAGGCATGCAGCCGGCAGCAGGGGCTGCGCTTAAGGTCAGGTGACGTCAGAGGGTATACGGACTGTGCCGAGACTACTGCACGGTAACGCCACAAAATCATGTCACTGACCTGAAATTTGCCTGTTGGAGGGCAGAGTGGCTGCCACTCCCTAGCTCTCCAGTCAGTCTTACAGGTTACACATCGCTGAAGACAGAGAATCGCTTACATCTGTAATTTCACGATTGCTTAAAAGCCATCCCACTCGACGACATGTTTTGTTTGGCATAACGTCTGCCAAAGGGCATCAAACATTATTGTTCCGGTCGCGCAAGGGCGTCTGCGCTCTTAACCCTGCATTCGGGACGCCCAATTGTCCAGTCTTGGTTAAATGCCAACAGAAGCTGAACTTCAGTGACATATAAAGCCATAGAATCCGTCAGCCTCGTGAAGACTTCTGTACTTTTAAGCTCAAATTTGGTATAAATTTGCTATGGAACGGTCGAAAACAAACGTGCATATTAACGTAATCACCAAGAACACGCGGCCTTTGAAGACCGCTGCTTCCGCGCGGAAGTCTACGCCTCTGTACGCTGATCGGGCATATATACTATGCTGATCTTATCCATGTTTCAGAAACTTAAGTCATGTAAGCGACAAATGATATTACCTAATGCATGGTGTTTTACTCCACAATATGGGCATGCCTCGCATAGACCATTAACCAGGCTTTGTGCAGTCGTATCTACGCGAGCACAACAAAAGTGTGGTAAATTGCACGGCTTGTGTGGCATTTAAAAATTAATCACATTGTGAATTGCTCTGAAACTGTATGTACTTTGGGATGCAACGCATGTAACGCACGTAACGCACGTGTAATGTAACGCATGTAACACATGTCTCAGCTAAGAGTTTCATCTATCGAAGTATCTAGCCAATATTACATGTTTTAACTAGAGTGCAATTGTTATCTGGGATGTCTGATCTTCTATTTTAGCATTCTACTTACTTCAACACTATGGCCTAGGTGCGATGGATTTTATTGTATACAGCAATCGACGATATCGATAGCCGCATTAGCTCGCTGAGCTAACATCATCTATATCCACTTAGCCCATCACAACCAAAAACCAATGCTAGGTATAAACAGAATCAGGATCTGATATTTTCAAGTGGCCACGTTTATAGCATCACAATGCGAGAGAATCGCTCAGAACACTCTGACAATAATTTGTTGGGCATTGCTATGGATTCAACACGAAATAATTCTAACAGATATATGCGAGCGAAAAGAAAGATGTGGTCCGCTCCGTTATTTCTGGCTCAGCCCGTAACCGACAGGCGAGAGGGTAATCACGGCTGGCACTTTGCATATAAGGAGCGGCTTTGGCTCAGCCCCTCCCCCCCCCCCCCCTATTAGCCCCGCGCCTGAAAGTCAGGTCTCGAACTGCACCAGCCACACTGGTCCACGCACACTTCCACACACCCATACACCCACACACACCACACGCACACGCACACCACACCACACCACACCACACACACACACACACACACACACACCACACACACACACACACACCACACCACACCACCACACACACACACACACACACACACACACACACACGCGCGCGCGCGCGCACGCACCGGGCTCTTGATAATCGCATCAAAGCTGCATACTCACCACACTGTGTTCATCGACCAGCTGCGACTCCAGCTGGCTCCACCACTCACCACACTGTGTTCACCGGCCAGCTGCAACTCCAGCTGCACCACTCACCACATGTGTTCACGGCCAGCTGCAACTCCAACTGCACCAATCACCACACTGTGTTTATCGGCGAGCTGCACTCCAGCTGCACCAATCACCACTGTGTTCAACGGCCAGCTGCAACTCCAGCTGCGCCACTCACCTGGCTGGACTCCTCGGTCCGCTGTAACCCCGCTGCACCACTCACCAGACTGGGTTCCTCGGCCAGCTGCATCTCCAGCTGCACCAGCCCGCTCTGACCAGTCACATCTGTCCACTGCGCCACCCTCGTCCCGGCCGGCGATTCGATGTAAATCTGCGGCAACTGAATACAGTGGGAAGAGAGAGTCAGCTCGATCAACCGGCCGCGGCACCGACGGACACTTGGATAGCATAGTGGGACATGACACCAATAACGCACGTCTAGGGGATGCGTAATTTAGAATAGCGACCTAGCTATCGTCACTCATTAACGGGATTCAAAAACAAAAACTGTGTAGCGCTGCCCGTATAGGACCAAGTGCAAGACCATCGAGTAGATGGGTATAAGGCGCGATGCAACGCCGTTCCTAAACTGCGTTACTTCTCTCATGGTATCATATGGCACGTTGCCAAAAGTTTCCTCAGGTATAAATGTAAAATTCGCTTCAGTTAGAAACTAAAACATCTTGTAATATCCACGGCATCTGTTGCAAGCATTTCGGCACAATGGGCAGTGGCAGTACGGCCCTTTTTTCCATCCCCTTGCCTACATCCCTGGCCGTTGGTGTTTATGTTATTTTCAACACGCGCGAGACGCTGCCGCTTTCTCTAGACCGCCATCGCAGCGCATGGTTCTCTTCGAGGTGCACACGTGATAGCGTGCATGCGAAGATTAGTGGGATGCAAAGTCACGTGATTGGTCAAACAAAAAAAGCGGCTTGAACGGCTTGAGCCGTTTGAGCCAAGCTTGCAGACGGTTGTTGCAGAAGCAAGACACCGACCATTGTGTATTTTTTTCTATTGCCTTGGTACCGATGTAGGCCCAATTTCTGTCAAATACACTGCAACGAATTAAACTTGTTCCCATGTCACACTCATAATATATTATTTTCCAATGCCAAAATGAAGCATCGTTTTGGATCTATAATTTCTTAAAGAGAAGACTACACCTTTGTTGGAGGTTTTGAATTGAAATTGCCCTATTGAAGATTAGCCGTACAGTTGACAACCCTGCCCCTTTAAGACCTAACCTCTCTAGTTTCCGAGCTACGCGAGCTTACTGACCTGAGCGTTGACAGCCGTTTGCCATTTCTTGCCATCGATATGGATGCAGTAACGGATTTTTCCGTGACGACAATCGCACGTAATGATACTGGCAAATACCGAACCTGGCTAGCGAATGTCAAGAGCGTCACCACGTAGCCGCATCCGTTCTTTTTCTACGACGCGCCTAAAATGTGGCTCCCGCTGATCCAGCACGCACCACGAGCTTGAACGGTGCAAGCTGTTGCTTGTTTATAATTACTTTTCGAACAACGATTGACCAACAGATTATATCCAAATTGAACTGATGAAACTGAAATGTTTCGCAGAAATCGTCAGCTCAAATATCACACCAACTGACGACGACAATGCTATAAGACACGTGGTCTGTTGTAAGAGCAAGGCAAATAGTCCTTGCAATGAAAAACAGCCTGACAGCAATCAACTAAAGCGCACCGATGCAGTGTAGGAGTTGAAGATGACGCACGAAAACTGCCGGTTCCGCAACACGACCTACATTGGAATGATAACAACATCTCCGTCACGACGCATGACATAGCACCTGCAGGAGGAGGCGCCAGACCAGCACATGCGTAAGCCAACAACCCAAACTTCTTACTCTCTCTGGGCTAGCTAAAAACGCAGTTCTGAAATCATGTCCGAACGCCGTTATAAGCTCGAAGTCACCCTCATCAGAGAAAGAATGCCTGCCTTAAACAAATAGCTAAGATCATGCATCACTTTAGAGCTTGCTCCGGCATCCAATGACAGTCAGGTGATTTACATCTCGAACTTGCCATGGTGTGAAACTGGCTGGAAAATTGATCTGCGTGGTTTGTATATGTTTTATAATTTTGTCTGATATTCGAATGCATATTCTGTCTACTGATCGTTCACCTTTTATTATGTCAGGCAGAACGTGCCTCGTATTTGGCCATATTTGAGGGTTTCCTGCTGACTGTCTCAAATTACTTTAAAACTGGAGAACGAATGTCCTAAAAACACACTTAAATGACTATAGGAAAAATGATTTATGACGCACCGAAAACCGCGGAAATTTTATTTAGCTGCGCAAACGCGCATTATGCTGATAAAACGCAAATTTGTCCTTGCATACAACACACCTTTCATTAAATGAGTGTTCAAGATTTGTGTGGGGGTTTGAACTGAATATCTATCTTGAAAATTAATCAGTGCATTCGACAGCCCTGCTCGTGTTGCGACATAAGCTTCTCCATCTTCTGAGTTGCACACCCGCGAAGAGGTGCAGGCTTTTTCGGGGAAACTATTTCAAAGTCACCCAAGCATTCGTGACGTAATAACGTCATTCAAATCCTGCCATTCCAACATCCAAGCGCCGATCAAGGCAAGAAAGGTATAGTTGTCAATTCGGTTTCTAGCGTTCGTGAGCAGCTTCCAGGCATAAAGCCATCAATTGGATTTCAATCAAGTTTGTGCAGGCAGACGCCAATCAAACAATGATGTTGCCCGCATATTTACGAAATCGAGAAATTGTTTTATCTTCAACAGTCTTTTCCACTTAAGTATATGTACATTTGACTGAGTTTTTGTTCATCATATCTGACCCTTGCTTCAATATCTTCAGATGTGGAACATTCTCTTTAACGTAAGTATCCATGTGCGAGCGGACTGGGAAGGCACCCAGGTTCCCCTTAATGGGCGATGTGTGGCAAGGTTGAAAACACTGTTAGTCGCAGCAGTTATCGCTGCAAGCTGCTTAGACTGAACTAAAAAGAAAAGGCACCTTGATTTTCGAAAAACGCTGCCAAGTATTTCGTGCTTAACACCAAAACTGAATAGCGGAAAGCGACAACTATCTTCTTCAAAATTTTGCTTGTGTGGTATTGAAAAACTTCGTTGTTTGTCGCAGCTACTCGGTGGCACGGGCACCAGATCGTAAAACCTAGAAAAATGAAATGCAAGCACTGTGTGGCACTGTGTCAAGAGTGTTCACACTTGTGTAGGGTTTTGAAGTGAAATAGCACCTTGAAGGTCGCCCGATGCACTACGCAGTCTTCCCTTCTTCAGACCTAAAATCCCCTTGTTTCTGAGCGTCGCGCTCGCAAAGACGTGTAGACTGTTTTGTGCAGACTATTTCAAGGTTAATCAGGGAATTGTAATACGATGATAACGTCATACGTATCCTGCCATTCCACTGGCCAAGGTCAATAAAAATTTAACTGTCGAGTCGTCAATATCTGGCATCTGTAAGTACTATTGTCATGTATAATTGGCGTCAATTGGCTCTCATCCAAGGTTGTACAAACCGAAACCGAAAGAACCGAAATAGCCACCTTGAAGATCAAATTTTGCATAGCTGTAGGCAGTAGAACAACGGATCGCCTAGCATCAAAAATTTAGATGTACCTTGTAAGGTCGCTGACCTATGGCAGGCCAAAGCCTGGCCATGGTTTCAGCGAAGGCGATTTCTACGGAATTCTTCAATCTGATCCAACAACGGAGTGTTAGACGAAGCCATACATCTCTTAGATGCTTTCTTAGGCAACACGACAGTTGAATGAGCAAACGACATTGACCTAAAGTCAGGTATGAAGTTAACACCAAGGTCAACACCAACCTGTTTTGCTACTCTAGGGCTTGCTGTATAGAATAGTTTCTGGTGCTCATTTCGAATTTGCTGATGGCAGGAACCGCATTATACATCTTCCATGGCCTTCTTAGAGTTCAGAATATCATTGACCTAAAATGACCGAGGTCAACATTTTGTTTTAGGGACATGCTGCCTAGCGTAATATTTGTCGCTTAGTGAAATGCACTCTGGTTCTGGGGCACTTTGGAGACCAACCTGGAGCCTGACCTTGTTTTACCTTTTTTGACCCGAAGATCATAACCTAGGAACTTGCAACTTGGACATAGTGAGTTCACGTACAGGTTAACATGTCCTGTAAATTTGGTACCTCTATTTTCTTAGTTCCAGAGATCTCAGGGCTCAAATTGACCCCCCACCCCCACCCCACCCACCCGTGCAAAGCGTATCTAGCCCCGGGCGGTGTTAAGTCGCAAAAATTCAAAGTTTGTAAGATTGTGCCCCATTATGTCACTGTTTGCTGGCGTCATGGAATCGTTTTGTGACGACAGCAATACCTGGCAGCATCTGGCATCCAGACCTTAAGAATACCTCGAAGCACACGAAAGCTGACGCCAACCGGCATTCTCGTCGCGGGCGCTGTGTCGGGTGGCGGGTTAGAGGTGGTTGTGGATTTTTTGTATTGGTGCTAGCCGTTAGAAAAGCTTTGGTGGACTGTCTGACATACGCAGCGTAGCGATCGCCGGCTTTTTGCCGGATTATTAATATCAAAGCACGATGTGCTGTGCTGTTGCTGTTGCTGCTATGCTGTTGATGATGACTTTTGTCAATGCTGTATGTTGACCTATCCTTGCCTGTAGTCATGACATTGATATCTTGTGATGCACACAGTAGTTACTTTCTTTATTGTTTATAACTGGAAATGCGGTGTCATGTGAAAATTGATAGATATGCTACGTCGCTATGAATTGATTGCCAAAGCATTGCATTGCTATGATGAAGATGGCGAAGTTGGGGCACCAATATTTTTTTTTTTGCTAGGATCATTTATGCAATTACTATTTAACCCTCATATAATCAATGTAGTGCAATGACATTCTTGCTGTCGGTAGTCCTTCGGCATTGTTAAATCAGTTCCTACCAGCCATTCATAAATTCTAAGCTGCTGTCTCATAGGCTTGCCATAGAGAAGTCAACCACCGTGGTACATTTTGCCATGGCACGGGTCAACAGCGGCCTTGGGCACTAAATCAGTGTGTACTGTGGCATGACATAATGAGCAGTGATATGGTTTTTGTATTGCAATCCCTACTGCTTTATAATAATTTCATCGAAAAGATGGCTTAAGCGTGCACTCTTGTATTGACTACCCATCTGACATATGACTGACCAAAAACCTTGATACAACATAGAAATCACTTTCAGCAAAGCAAACAACCATAAGTGACAACACTTCCTCAGCCTGTTTTGGTAACCCACAAAACGTGGGTGACAAAGATGCAAACACGTCTTGCACTTTCACAGCCATGTAACATGTTGCAGCCATCAGGCTGCTTTACACAAAAATGGCAGGAAAATTTTGCATGTGGTGAAATGACACTGCAAACATGCTGAGACTGGAGAAATGATAGGTGCATGTACTTATGGTGGATGGGAAAAATGCAAGGAAGTTATGAAGTTGCCAGCGCACAAGCGGCTCATGATGAAATATTAAGTGCTATCCAAGGCGCCAACTGCAATACTTTACCACCTTTCTCACCACCCAGCACCTCATGCAAGTTACAGTGACTATGACATTGATGACTCACAAGCAATGCTTGCCTGCATACAAAATTTGTTAAGACAGTAGAATGTGCATCATTAATATTACAGCGTTATATTTACAGAGTTATTTGAAAGGACAATTTTGCAAAGCCGTATCACGTGAACCTATGCTGAGCATGTGCGTTAATGAGCTGCGCGCACTAGCCCCTACTGCCAAAATAAATTGCTGATATAATGGCATGCAATATATTAATTACATTGCAATGACAATATGCAATCACATAAATCAACAGGTTTAAAATATTGACAACATCATAATGACATGCCAAATTGTCTTTGTACACATCTGCAACACAAGTCCTAGTGTTTCTCTTAGCTTGCCGACATTACCTTGCCATGTTCAAACACAACCATTAAGGCAGAGGCAAATATTGATATATCACATTTCATTGGGTGTCAGTAGACTTAAATAATGCCACAGCAATGCTCTTACACTTGCACACTCGTAATTATAAAATTGCACGTTCCTCACAAGTTCCGCACAGAATTACGAATATAATACCGCATTTCGCCGTGAGCACCCTTCAAAACAATGTCCCAACGGGTGCCACGGTAATCCGGCTCAAGAGGTCGTACTTGTGGAGCACAATTTTTTGTTCAAGACGTAAAATTGTCGTACAGTGTGGTGTGAAATATTGAGCATAAGATGTATCTAAAATCACTGTAATGTTTCCATAATTTATTAATGCCGTGCTAACCCAGAAGCCCGTGCAAGGTTCTGTGATCCGGTACACAGAGCTGTCGTGCAACCGAGCTGTCTGTACGCAATGCGCCTGTAGAAGAAGAATAAAACGCCAGCAGGGAATCAAAGTCAGATTTGCCCTCGCGTCTTCTGTTTGATAATATTCGTGAGAATGCTCGTTTTCTGGGTGCCGAACTTTTTTCGGCAGACAGTGGTGTTCTTTTTTATAACACTGACCAAGGAAAAATGCCCCGTTCACGACGAGTGCCACACAACCCAAAAGTGCTCACTCTTGCGTTCGCGACACACATTCAGCAGCGAGATCTTGCTAGCAGCCAATCCTCTTCCGCGCATTGATCATACGTGCCGTATCATCGCTTTTGCGAATGTTTCAGTGGTCATGCTGTTTTGACCATAAGCAGAAAGCAGCCTGTAGTATAGCTGCGATCGCATGACGTTTCTACGACGTCATTAATGCCAAGGTGGCTAAAGTAGGCTCCCAATAAACCTTTTCACACTTTGGCGGGCTCAGGAACGGAGCGCTTTGGGTCTCAAAAGGACATGACCGTGAACTGTATCAAAACGTCCTCAAGATGGCTATTTCAGCTCAAAATCCCATACAAATTGGAACATTCCCTTTAAACTCAGGGATAAATATGTTAGCGCGCAACGATTATGTTTGGCCCGATGGCAAAACCCCGGAACGCGAGTACCCAAGATTTGGTTCAGCGCGCATCAGTAACGCCTGGCCACGTATTGGGTGATTGAAGAGCTACGAGTGAGTTTTGTCATATAAAAGTTTCATGACGAAAACAAACAAGTACGCACCGGTGTCGACTTGTACTCTTTTGGGTGAACCACTGCCTGTCCCGCAATGTCCAATCTGCTCCACCCCCCCCCCCCCCCTCTCCCCCAATGGTGAGTTTGGTCCCCCAACTTTCTGGAACTCCAGTACATGAAGGACGTTACAAATAGGAGCTCAAACTATGCAAAATCTAAAGAATGCTTCTGCTTATTCTGTCTCAGGCAAAATACTCATAAAAGAAAACAAAAACTGCTATACTTTGTCCAGTTGTGCACCTGCCTGAGTTAGTCACACTTTGAAAGCTCCGCGGTCGTACCGTGTTGACTCGAGTTTTGTGTTGTTTTTTTCTGCACACTGCATACCTTTAACCACGCGATTTATATTTATTGCTTACTATGGTCCAGTTTTGTGATATTGCGGGAGTGTTTTGACATTATTCAGTAATGTTTTGAGCCAAACAGACTGCAGCAAGTTGCGTTGTTGCGCTAGGACGTCTTATCGGAAAACAAAAACATAGCGGTAGAATACTTGCAGCCAAAAACATGGTCAAATTATTAGTCGTCTTAATTTGGAGAAATTCTTGACATGTGTCGACCTTCACTTCAACGTGAATATTTGGCAAAGCAATTGCCAAGACGTGACGATCGACGCCAACTGGCTAGGCTGGTAACGGTAATCGTCCGACTATGATTGCCAACACAGGCCATGTCGAGCGTGCCTAGCGGGGGTGGTGCGCCTGCACCCCGTCTTGCGGCAATCAGCCGGGATTTCCATGGCAGACGTCACTTGTCGCCCAAATCAACTTACAATCTTTGCTCCCAAGGAGTACATATCCAAAAACGTCTTAAGCCGCATACCATCAATTCTGTAACTATTACCGAGACCTGGTTTCAAAGATCGGGACCATACAAAATTATGATTCCAACAACAGCAACTTTTGCCGAGACAGGGCAAGCAAACGCATTAGATCGGGCTGGGCTTTCCTTTTCTGCAGGGGGAAGGACAAGACTCAAGTTCCATAGCGTCGTTGAGAGTGAAATGGGTCAAATCCGGGAACTACCCTGCTTTTTAGTGCATTTGGTGTTCGTTTTTTCCCCACTTGGCTTCACCAACCCTATTTTGCTTAACTTCATTCCTATGGTGAAGTCTTAGCGACCGTGACAAGATTCGTCACCAGATTGAACTTTAAGGTCAGATCTGGGACGTTGGCACATTTCCCAAGCAGGGACAGGGCCAAGTGTCGCGATTTACATTGTCTGCGGCCATTAAGTCAATGAGCGGCCACTGCTTGGTCAGGGGAGGCACCTAACAAGGGTCGGTATTGCCAAGGAACACCAGAGTGGGCCTGATACAGCGCTCGAGGACCCCGCAGAGGAGCCGAAGAGCCCCTCGGGACCGACGATCAAATGCCCGATTGAAAGGCATAAAGGCAGGAGGACCGGCCATGAACTGTCAGTCCAAAGCCAACTTGCACCGATCGGGTACACCCTGGGACAAGCGGGTCCCTACTTCGTTCGTAGACCACCAACGCCGAACAGTCGGCTCCGTGACGGTCTGAGCTCCGAGGGACCTTTTCCTAAGCAGGAACAAGGTGGGAACACACTATTTGCATCGGCCGGGACCACCGGTCGGGACCTGGGAGGCTTCGGCGCAGTGCAGAGGCGCCCGACCCTGCGGTGTAGCTTACCGGCTCCGAAATCGGCCTCAGGTTCGAGTCGACGGAGAAGACGCGGAAGCGGACCAGCTGGCCCGCCTTGTATATGTACTTGTCCGTCTGAAGGAAGTGATGCTCTTCAGGAACGTCGCTTAAACTGAAACGCGCGGCATTCGCCGGTATGAAATAATGGAGCTTGTATCTTGTATCGTAAGAGTACTGTATAGTGTGAGGCGCTATTCTGTGAATGTTTGAAGTGTTGTTACCAATATGGAAGTGGTTGCCAGCCTAACTGGATAAGATGCCGTTCAGTTTTTTTTCGTTGTTGTGTTGTGGGCAAGTATCCTTTTGATGGATGATTTAACACGCTCGGTTGGAATGCCAATTTGCCACTTCGAAGGTTGTTTTCCGGAATTACGCCCGAACGGAGCGGGGTAGCCGCACCAAATTTTTCATGATTGTAAAAAATTGAACAGCAAGTAGTCTGACACTCAAAATTTAGCTGTACCTCGTAAGGTCAATGACCTAAGGTGGATCAAAGCCAGGCCATGGATTCAGCGAAGACAAGCTGCTGGGCATCGTTTCATGTCATGGAACAGCGAAGTGTTAGACGAGGCCGTGCATCTCTGTGATAGTTGCCTAGGCAACAAAACAATTGCGTGAACAAATTTCATGGACATTAGGTCAGCATGGAAGTCAGACTTGGGACGAAACCAAGCTGTTTTATTACCCAGACCTTGCTGTATGGGATGGTTTGTGGTTCTCATTTTGAATTTATAGGTAAAGCCGCGTTACCACCTTTCATGACATTATTTAAAGTCAGAGTAGGTTATTGACCTAAACTGACGCAGGTTAGCGCTTTCTTAGGAACAGAATGACTATCGTAATCCTTGACGTTTATTGAAATGCAAAAATCAAAGCACTTTTGTGTGATTTTAGCCACCATGACATTTAAAATGTTACGCAAGATCATTGACCTTGAATGAATACCATTGACCGTTTTTTTAAACAGGTATCCAGGTTCACGGTGGTTGCATGGACGGTCTTATGGTACTTTGGATACCAATCTGGGTTTCGAACTTATCTGACCCGTGGGTCCAGACCTAGGAATGCAAATTTTGACACAAATGAGTGCACGTATTGGCCAACTCACCCAGTGAATTTGATATTTTAGCTCTTCTCTTTCTGATATTTCAGGAGGGTCAAATTAACCTCCACCCGAACGAAGGGCATTCAGCCGGCCACCCCGGCGCGTGTTAACATAATCATTTGAATCCGGTGCTTTAGCGCGAATGCGTCACATTTGTGAACCGGGTAACTTGACATCAGAGTATGGCTACCATGCAGACCTGTTGCACCTTCCACCCACCAGTCACACATAGAATGAACATGAAATACACATGATACACGATTATCCCTTGATCACTTCCTATTGACAGGTGGACTCGTTATGCATTGCTGCAAGCATTGTGGTGTTCTCCAGCCGTGAACTCTCCCGGCTGTACTGTCAGGACTTCTTTTCATACGAAGTGCTATATCTTCACCACATATATCGAAGGGGGTTCTGCATCTACACAAAAACTCTTCTTAGCAAAATGTCTTTGAAAGACATGATTCTTTCTCACTTATCTACACATAATTCCGCTTTACTTTTTTGCAAAACTCGCAGCAAATTTCAGTGGAAAGACACTTCATTTGACTTACTAGATACGGACGCGTAGACTTCCTGATATGGTGTAGTCGACGGCGGATGGGTAAGTCACTTCCAAACCCATCCAGGCGCTAGAAATTCTCTGATTTGGTAGCTGAATTGCAAAGCAGGTCTGTTTAGATCCACCTGAAATACGACATCGTATTAACGACTGTTTTAGTCACATATTTGCTGTGCGTTCCCTATTTTCCTCCGTGAGGTGCACGTGTATCTGAACCCCGCAGGGCGGATGGGGGCTTAACGAAGCCCTGCTAGCGCGAGGAGCCGCCGGTTTCGCTCCAAGACGCTGAGCCGACTGATGGGTGGCCTGGCCAGGAAGCGCGCTCATGGAGACAGATGGTGTGGCTGGCCTCGCCGTCACCGGATGGGTACATTCAGATCGGTCAGTGGTGACGATGTCAAGCACTTTGTCCACTCGCCGAGAGAGCGAGCAGCGACCGATGATCTCCGGTCGGGCTCGTACACTGCTGTGGTGTCATGTCCCCAGTTATAAGAAACAGGCATATGCACGCGAGGCATTCATTGCCAACACGCCGGCACTATCGAACCGGTCAATGACTGACTTTAAACGTTAGTAGATACCATGGGGGTGCAGATGCATGCCTGAAACTGAAAGCAGCCGCCCATCGTGGTAATCATAATGTCCGACGAGATCAATCAGCTCTTTGAATTGGTGGCCTCACATCACAGTTTAGCAGCTACCATGGGTTGTAATCCCTGTTATAACGTTTAGTGCTGTGTATGATTATGCTTTAGTAGTGCCAGTATAGGATTACAATCGCTGTCCAGCGTTAAGACGGTGGCAGAAAATTTACTAAACGCATTAATATACAGCTCGGTGTTGTGCCCGACACATATACATTAGGCCAGATGCCGCAAAGACAACAGCTGCACAGAAGCTTTTGTTAGCTGCCTTGGTTTTCAGTTTTATTGTTAGCCTGTGAGCATGCACCGTGTACCCAGAAATGTCATGTAATCAAGCAGACATTTTCAAAAAGCTTGAGTCGGCCACAACGGAGATCAATTCAAACGCCAGCTCAGACCACATAGTGAGTGGTAGCTTCGCACGTGGCCACGAGGTCCCTGGGCCGCCACACTCGGACTCGGTACTCACCCGCCACGCCCGACACCTGCTGGGTGTGCTGTGCGAACGTCGGGCTACTCTCACTTCTCCTGAACGTCAGCGTCAGGTTGCCGGTCTCGGGCACGTCGAACAGGGTCAGACACACCCGCTCAGGCGTGCCGGCGAAGAAGACATTGGGCGCTGTGAACAGGTACCGGCTGCAACAGCGGACCAACGCTACCGTCAAAGCTGGAACAGCTGGCCAGACTACTGTTGACCTGAACGGGAGTGCTGATGCGTGTTAGCGCATGCTCATGTTAATCGAGCTGTCATCCATGTAATTTACATGAGACTCTGCAAATTTGACCACTTCGACCCGTTTTCGCGTTATTATGTTTTATGTAGTGTTCTATGTTATATTTTGCATCTGGTATTCTATATGCAATGTCACACCATTCTAAGGGCACCAATCATGCAAGCTGCATGTTTTTTATCGCATAATTACATAAACATGTGCTGTAAACACGTAGAGGTTTGGGAATGTTTCAAAAAGTGAGAGGCAGACATAGGGAATATTTCAGGAGCTTCTCTAGGAAGCACGCCCGATGACTGGGGGATGGGGATAGAGATGGGGGCTATTGCCTGCTCTTAACAGGCGCTTGGGTGGCCCTCCGAAGATTTTTCCAGAATGATTTCCGAACAGCGGGGCGTAACCAAGACAAATCCTGCATAGCTGTAGAAAATTGCATAGCGGATCATTTTATATACATATTTAGATGTACCTTGTAAGGTCACTGACCTGTGGCAGGTCAAAATCAGGTCATGGTTTCAGCGAAGGCAATTTCTAGGGAATCCTTCAATCCGATCCAACAACGGCGTGTTAGACGAAGCCATACACATCTGAGATGCTTTCTTAGGCAACGCAACAGTTGAATGAGCAAATGACATTGACCTAAGGTCAGGTATGAGGGTCACACCAAGATCAAAACCAGCCTGTTTTATTGCCCTAGGGTTTACTGCTTGGGATAGTTCATGGTGCTCATTTCGAGTATATTGATAGCAGTAACCGCACTGTACACCTTCTATGGGACTCTTATAGGCCAGAATAGGTCAGTGACCTAAAATGACCTTGGTCAACATTTGGTTTTAGGAACATCCTGCCTAGCGTAATCTTTGCTGCTTAGTTAAATGCAAAAACTCAAAGCAATATTGTATCATTTTGGTCACCATGACCTTCAAAAGGTCATGCAACGTCACTGACTTTAAATGAGAATGTGAGCTATTGCTTAGAAACGGTTATCTACGTTCTGGGGGTACTTTGGAGACCAACCTAAAACTTGAACTTGTTTGACCTTTTTGACCCAAAGGTCGTGACCTAGGAAGCTAAAACTTTGACTCAAGTGAGCTCACGTACAGGTCAACGCACCCTCTTAATTTTGTGTCTCTAGCCCTCTTAGTTTCCGAGATCTCATGGGTCAAATTGCCCCTCCCCCACTCGAGCGAAGAGTATCTAGCCGGCCACCCGGGCGCGTGTTGATTTACATAACAGAGTTGGGGAATACCTAAATGTAAAAGTTTCCATACTAGATATAAAGCTACAGCTTTTTCTCACTGGTGCACAAACTTGTCTATTCGACTCATGTATGACATTCGGCAAATAAGGCTTTCCAGCTTCCCGGGATTATTCTTTCATTTCAACATTGTTTTCCCTGGGCAGCCGAAATTCCACGAACGGGTAGGCTTTCTTGAAGATTTGATCCGAGCTCTTTTGAATGGATGGATTTCTGGGATCAGAGCTCACGATAAGCTGCGCTTGTTGTGTGAGCCCTTACCCCAACATTTGGTCGCGCAATCCAGGCAAGGCCAGAATTTAGGGGCGAAAGTTTAACGTGCCGCAATGTTCGGCAATCGGCATTTTCGGTCATTGAGGAGGTATCTGCCTCACAGGCTGGTCAAAATTTCGAACTCGAATCGATAGCCCATAAAGCACAAGAGTTTTCATGCGCCTAAATTTCGCCGACTTTTTTAAACAGACACGATTTCTCGCAGCACTTTAGGCAGAAACAAATTCGGAAGCTTCAAATGCTAACTGTCAAAAACGGTATGACAGACACCATGCAACTTGTGCTTCTCCTGTAAAAAACTAAGTCTCGGAACGAAGGCCATTCCTCCTGTCATGTATTCCCTATCTGAGCCCTGCTCCCGTCCGCCGTCGGCAGCCGCTACCTTGGCCCGGCTGTGCCGCAGGACTGCCTGCGAACTGATCATATGGCTGTTTTGCAGCATGCTTATAGTTCAGCGTTATTATTTATACGTGTTTAAAACATATATTGGACACCAGCAATAGTACTTTCCCCGAATTACTTTCCTTGCTCCTCCACACTACTGCAGAACCAAAACCTACGCGAAGCTGCCTGCCTTAGGCATAAATTGGTCCCACGACGTCCAATCGTCCCTAATTCAACGTAGCCGGTTTGATCTGCTTTTGTATGTAGGCAGGGACCTAGCCAGATATTTCCAAGAGGGGGGGAGGGGGGCAGCGTTGGTGTGTTGGCTGCACAGGGATAACCGTAAGGGGGAGGGGCAAAGTCCCGCACGGTTATCTTTCCTCCCCAATAAAATCGCGGGATATAGCTTGCTTATTAACAAGGGATACGGATATCTTCCTTTTATCTTCATTTTCACCTTGGAACCAGAGCGGAAACAAGAAGCAGGAGCTACCGCCAGGTCAATTATGTTTGTATTTTGAAGCCAATAATAACTTGCCTAAGTCAGGCGATGGACGGCTGTATGGAATACATCACCGGCACTTCTAATCTACAGTGGCTCAGTGTCTTCTAAGCCAATAAAATGCAGCTCTGTCAAAAATTTATCTGGGTTCCACAGACATATTAACTCGTGCCCGGGTGGCCGGTTGGATACTCTTCGCTCGAGTGAGGGGGGGGGGCAATTTAACCCCCAGCTAAAATCTCAGGGACTAAGAGGTCTAGAGACACTAACTTTACAAACTGTGTTGGCCTGTACGCAAGTTCACTTAGGGCAAATTTGGAAGATCATGTGAACTTGCTTGACCTTTCAAAGGTCATGGTGACCAATGTAATAGAAGACTGCTTTGAGTTTTGCAATTGAATAAGCGACAAATATTATGCTAGGTAGTATGTTCCTAAAAAGGAAATATTGACCTGGGCCATTTTAGATCAGTGACCTATTATGACATCTAAGAAATCTATGGTAGATGTCTAATACAGTTCCTGCCTTCAAAAAATTCGAAATGAGCACCAGAAACTATATCATAAAGGAAGCCCTGGAGTATACAACAGGCTGGTTTTGACCTTCGTCTGACCTTCATACCCGACCCTAGGTCAATTAAATTTTGGCATTCAATTGTTATGTTGCCTAAGAAAGCATCTCAGAGATGCATGGCACCGTCAAACACTCGGTTGTTCCACCAGATTTCACATTTCCCAAGAAATTAACTCTGTTGAATCCATGGCCTGACTTGGACCTGTCGTGGATCAGTGAACTTGCAAGGTACATCTATTTGTTGTTAGCATACGATCTGCTATTAAAATTTCTACAGCTTTGCAAAATTTGGCGCGGCCATGTCCCGCCGTTCGGACACCATTCCGGAGAAACCCTCGCGGGGTCCATTTAAACCCCGCCCGGGCGCGTGTTAAGGAGCCTGCGAAGGCGGCTTCCAGATCGAAGTGTGTCAGTGATGTGAAGTCACATGGCCAAACCATGTGTGTCTGTAGATTTTTCACATTCAGTCAGAATCGATCAGTGATACAAATTATGTAACGTAGTTTTGAACACGCGCGCTCGCAAATATTTGCAGCAAAAGCCTGGACGCCAGGCGTTGCAGTCTCCATGGGCCGTGCCGCGTCGGTACAGTACCTAATATTGAGTCGTGGTCAACAGGTGAACGAAAACGATGACTCTTTTGAAAGAAATACATTTCCACACTTTATAGATAACTCATACAAATTGTGTAACGTAGTTTTAAACAAGCGCAAGCAGATCTTACCAACAAAAACCTTGACCCGAGGCGTTACAGTCTCCTTAGGTCGCGCAGCGTTGGTCTAACGATTAATGTTGAGCTGTGGCTAACGGGTGGACAAAAATAATGACGCTTCTGAGAAAAGTACCTTTGAACGGTTCAGGATTTCAAATCTTGGATGTAGAAGGTAGTCTGGGCATAAAGTTTACCTGTACGATTTTGAGATTGATGATAAGAACGGATTGGTCATTACGACACCGCGAAATGGTGTTGGAATGTGGTGGTGTAAATGAAAGAGTAAATGTAGGAGCTTTGCTTTTCGTGCTGTTATGACTGTTTATCTGTCCAAAGGACAGATTCACGCGGTCCCGCTTCCTGGTGTTGCTTGCGGTGGCCAACGCTGTTCGACTTTAGAGACCACGTCATCTCTGTTCGTGCTCCCAACATTGCCCATATACTGGGGCGCCAACATTGAAACTTTTTCATGTGGTTTGTTTCACTTATGGATTCTGGAAAAGAATGAACAGTCTTAGGCAAACATGGGGTTTCCAAAGTTTAAAACCATGCTCATTTTTAACACATTTCGGCCCATTCAAATCAACAATAATGGCACCCCCCATTCCCTTCCGCCGGACAAACGGCTCCTTGAGTAGAACACCAGGGGCATCTTACTGCTGCAGGCAAAGGGCTATATGAACGGCAGAATTCAACTGAATCTCGTCCAGCGCACGTGAACGGGATGTGCTTACGCATGGTCTTTATTTCTCTCTTTTTAAGTCTAGAGCCAGCTCGTAAAGCTTCAACCAGACTGACAGCCTTGTCCTCGCCGACTCGTATCCGGCTTCCCTTCTCCTCGCCGATTCGCATCCGGTTTCCCTTTGAACGAGAACCGAGCCACACGGAAATGGTAATAGTAGCTGAGGGAGATATACGGCGGGCACGCCCGAAAGATGCGGCTCGGCTTTGGTCACGATTCAGGAGGAGCCAAACGATTGCAGTCCCTCTCTTATGCAAATGAATGTTTGATGGTAGCGTGACTCGAAGGCATGATACGCTCTTCTTGGACTAGGAGACGGTCGATTTGCTCATTTACCGCTCACTCGACCTCAGGCGTGACAACATGGGAGACGCTGGTCATATAACATGGCCAAGACCAGTTCGGACCGTTCGGAATGCAGGGTTACGCCCGGCGGCAACTGGATCTATCCGTTGGTGTGCAACGCCTCGGGAGAGATCGAGACACTACCATTTGTCTCCTTATGTGGTGTATGCCAGGTCTTAAGGACCTTGTTGGCGGGATTTCGTCATGGATAGAGGTCCCGTCATCGATGTCATAAGTAAGGGCAACAAGGGACTAAGTCGTCCGACAGGCCGGTCAAGCCCAGTCTCCAGAGCGCGCCGGCCACGGGGACTGAAACGCGTAAACCCAGGTCATGCCGGGGGCTAGCTGTCTGCCAATGGACTCAACCGTCCCATCAGGTGCGCTGTCTGCCTCCAGGCCTCTGAGGGACGCGCCGCGGGGCGGTGCTTTGTAAAGCTTACTCCGGTAGGTGGGAGGCGAGGGCGCAGAAGCGCCGGAGGCGACGTCTTCGTGGGCGTGACCAAAGGAGTGGTGGGCCACCCCACCGTGCACAGGACACGAGGGAGCGTCGTCCAAATAGGGATCCGTCACACTGGAGACTGGCAAGGAGACGAGTTATCGTTCAGTTGTGGGAAACCTCAGGCCGGCCCAGTTGTCGCATCGGTATCGTAGTCAATATTTTTATCGGTGCCAGGCTGATAATAATACTGATTTGGGGTGTTTTAAATAGGGCATGAATTTGGCTTCACCGGACGGCCGAAATACCTGAAATGAAATGTAATTTAGTTCGACAAGGACTAGCGCGGACGTGGCAATTACAATGGCAACAAGGTGCTGGAAAGGAGAGGGCAAGGAGGGCGGGGGGGAGGGGGGCTCCTGCCCGTGCGCGAGCCAAGAACAAACGGGCTGACGGGGCGCCAATGTATGTGTATGCTTAGAGTGAATGTGGTGGGGCGTCGAAAACATAAAGTCTAAGTGGGATACCGTGGTTAACGGCGGACAGCCATGCACGGGGAGACAGCCGTTCATGGGGTCTGACCGCGCCAACTGTTCCGCCAATGCTCTGGTCATTCGCGTCATCTTAGCGCTGTAGCTCACGCGTGCGTGTTGATGTCGGGTGTACCTGAGTCAGAATGTGTCGAGTCCCCATCAAAGCCCCCCCCCCCCCAACAGGATCATTTGATCAAGTAACCATCCTCGATGTCCCTCGTCGAAATATCGTACGCCACTGCCACCGTGATGGCAGAGGCTGTGCTCTTAACACTTAACACACACCCGGATAGCCGGTTGAATACCCTTCGCTCAGGTGAGGGTCAATTTTACCCCCGAGAACCCCAAAACTGAGAGAGCTAAACACATCCAACTCGCAGGGTGGATTGTCATGTATGTGAACTCACTGGTGTCACAATTCGAGGTCCCTTGATTTGTCCTCAGGTCGCTTAATTTTGTAGTTGTAGAGTAAGTTGTCACCCAGCAAAACTTTTGCCACTGTACACATGTTTGTACAATTATACATGATATGGCCAATGGGCCCAATTATTAATACGTTCGGCGCTGAGAAGACGCCACGAAGCTGGCATTAACTTTTGTCGCCAACATGAGGGAACGGACTTCCCTCCATGTTGGGAGGATGATCGCCGCTCCGATCATTTTTTTCCAGTCAATGACCGCGGGGCCAAAGCTAAATTTTCAGAAATTTGTGCGCTTCGAACCACGCCTCTATTCCGGCCCCACGCACCCCCATGTCTCACGGCGGTACAGCGCAACAACATGAGGAGTTTTTAAGGAAATTCTTATTTACGAGAACGCCAGTTATAAAGCGTAATATTTCTAACTCGATGTTTATTCCAGAGATGTTTTTACGATCTCGTTTCTCCTACCAAAAATTGGTGACTCCGCCCTTGCGCATGACGTTACAATATCCGCCGAATCGAGTCACTCTGCGTGGGTGGATTTGAGGTGCACACACGCTCGGCTTTGGGTGCAGTATGAGCTTTAGGGCACCTGAGCACCCCACAAATCATTTGAATTAGATGTTTAACGCATTTATCCCACAGATTCTTCCAACTCCGGAAACGCCACCGGCACCCCCTGCCTAACACCCAGTTTGTAACCAAGCGGAAATGGTACAAGTAGAACTGTATGCACCGCATACAAGAATGCTGATTAAGCCAAAATCCGCCGCCATTTTTCGTCAGATCCATTTGGAGGAATCCATGGGAATCTGCCGATGTCTTTCTCGCACACCGAACGGCCGCGCCTGGTGATGTCGGGCCTGAGGATCGGCTTTGGTCCTTCGTGTGCTGGCGAATGACTTCAGGAATCTGTATGCTCTTCACGCTATGAAACACACATCTAACCAAAAATCCCATGTCGGAGAGATGTCGTGCACGGCGCTGGGAAATACCGTGCAGTCCCGCGAGCGCCGCGGTCGCGTTTGCTGGACTCAATAGTCGTAATCGGATATTCGGAAGCTCGTTGAGCCCCCCCCCCCCCCGACTGGAGAAGACGGTCCCCACCGAGGCCGTCTAGTTGGTATCAGCACTGGGGATGGGCAAGCACCAAACACCTGCACCACCGCCGACCGGTCTGTGGTGGAGCGCTGGTGCTGACCTGCTATTTGTTGGGCACCGTTTAATGGATCAGGTTCCAGTTACAATAGCGACATTAATACAAACCAGACCGCGAGCCGGGGACTTGGGGTCAACGAAATCGAGCTCTTATGGCTTAAGCGGACCGTCCAAGACCAGCCAGTTAAACTTTTCATGAGCTCATAATCCTTGCAACTCTTGATCACAGCCGTTAGCAATAATTGGCACAATCACTGGAAATGCGTGCTGTAGCATCCCCAAGGCATTCAGCTGCTAGCTGTTTTGATCAGGTAACATTGCTTGTATCATTCCGATGCCTGCACAAATTAACCCCTCGCAGCATTTTATCAGCGTGGTAAATTCACTATGATTTAGTTGCAGAGCACGTGTGGAATCAAAGTGCACAATTCGACTCGACCAGGCGTCACACCGACACGAGACAAATAGTCTGACCCAGGAAAGACGGACGAACGCATTGGCATGTCTCGCGCAAGCTGTCATGTACTGTCATGTCATGCATCGTGCTCCAACCGCGCCACCCTCCACTTGGGGGCGTTTTGATAAACCGATGTCAGATGGTGGCGACCGGAAAGGATGCAGGCGTGTAACCAATGGTTTGGGGTGCACGTATAAGCCAAGGTACACGCTACGAATTACGTATCGATTTCAAAATTGTCCAGCACAGGCACGCCAGTGATCGGCCAGAAAGGAAGCAATGTCAACTGTTTCCAAACATATCTCAACTAAGATTCATCGGCCTAAATTGAGAGCGGCTCGGCCACATAATTACGATTGCATTTGGGACATATTATTGTGAATTACATCAACCAAAAGGGGTCGAGTGCGGGAAGTTGCGGGAATCTTTCGGGAGAGTCCAGGAGAGACGCTTGAGGATGGAGTCTCCCAGCGAGTCCCGAGGAGGAAGGAGCGCGGAGAAGTGGTGATGACAGCCGGACGGCGACATCTGGCTTCGCGGACGACGGGACACCGGCAGTAACATGCACGTGTGAGTCCACAGCCTATTGCCCCGATCCTTACCGGGCCATGGGCGGCTGGTGCTCCCAGATCACTTGACTCCTCCCTACCGGGCGGGCGCGGGCCACGGCCACCTGTTCCCCTCCCGTGTAGTTAAGGGGGGAGAGGCACTGGCCACGCGACCCTGCCGGACGGGCAATGCGTCTCGGTCCCACTCCCGTCATGCAGGAAGGGAGGAGAGTAGCGTGACGTGTCACGTGATTTGTCTATGTCCTGGTGATTAAAAAAAGTACAGCTAGCGGTCTGCGTTTTAAAATGCTTTATTGTGAAAGCGAGGCTGAAGTGATTCGGTCGGGGGGCAACAGGACAGTCTCGCCTGGCGTCGGTGGGCATGGTGACAAGAGGTGAAAAAGTGCCTTTTCTGCCACCGAAAAAAAATTGGAACTGTCTGAATTGCCACCTAGGGTCAAATCATTCACAAAACCATTGCAACATATCTTTAAATCCGATAAACCACAACAAGCAAAGACAAATTAAATGCAGTGTGTCATAACCATGAAGTCGGACTGACTGACAAATTAGCATGATAAATTAGATAAGGCTTAAACGTAGCTTTATTCAATGCTTAGAAAGTGATACCCAAATTTATGTTAGTTTACCGAGGACTCACGCAGACGAGGCAATTCTCGTGCAAAGACGCTGGATAAAGGCTGGGGGGGGGGGGGGGGACCGTGTACGAACCAATAAGCGGGCTGACGTGGGCGCCAGCGTATGTGTATGCATGGAGTGAGCGTGGTGGGACGCCGAATGCATGGAGTCTGCATGGATACGTTAAGGCCGAGGGGGCTCCCGGGGTTGTTATCCAGCAGGCTCTTGCCAATGCAATTCGCCACTTGCGTTGGGTCCTTGCCAGTTGCGTTGGGTCCTTGCCAGTTGGGCGTGTCATCAGTGCACTCTGTTCCGTTTTTCCCCGCTTGAATATTGTCATAAGCAAAAAAGATGGAGGTGGGATGCTGCGGTTGAGGGCCCACAGCCATGCACGGGGAGCCAGCCGTTCATGGTGCCTGACCGGACCTAACATTCCGCCAATGAACCGGTCACCCGCTTCATCCTAGCTCTGTGGCTCACATGAGTGTGTGTTGATGTCGGGTGTACCGGAGCCACAACTTGCCGAGTCGTGCACTAATATCATCTGGCTCGTGTGTTGGCCAATGGGCTCCTCGTTATAAATTCGCTCTTGTGAGGAGGCGTGACGGCAGCAGCCGGCGGCGCACAAACATCCAGCAGGGGCCCCGGTAGCAGCGCAGCGCAAGAGCACCCATCACAGAACGCCCCCCCCCCCCTACAAACACACCATTGTCGGCACCGAGGGGGAAAGAGAGACATAAAAGGCCCACTTACCGCTCGGCTGCCACCACGCCACACAGAAGAAGCAGCCAGACAGGTGTCATCGCCTGCCCTGCTTCGACGACGGGAGGCCATCCAGTTACCTGGCAGCGCCGCCGTTGCTTCGTCGTTACCTCGCCAGCCGCAGGTGGCACTGGTCAAACCGGTGCGGGGATACACCGTCGTCCCGCGAGTCCAGGATTGTGGCATCGCACTGCGACCGCCTGGCACGCGGCGCGCTGTGACATCGGTTCGGGGTGTTCAGTAGGATACACTGATGAGGGACAACAGGAAAAACCGGGTGGTGTTTTATCCATATTTCGAGGAATATCCCTGGCCTATGCCTTGAGACGAATTCCCAAAATTAGGACAAGCCCGCTGGGTCATGTTTGTTGCTGGGGGTGATATTGCTGGCCCGGCTCCACACACTGCCCCGATCACTCGACAAGCCAGCTGCTCAAAACATGTGTCATGCCTTCATTTTCAAAGAGGAATATTAAAGATACACAGAGGTAAAACAAAGGATAGCTCGCAAACGTTGTGGTGAAAATATTTATTGGGTTCAGCTGGAAACAAAGTTCACTGTCCCCGGAAAACTGCAGGAAGGAACGGAGTTCACTGCACCCGGAGTTCGTAGATGCTTCGTAGAAACGTCGCAGCAGTGGTCATAAGTAGGAGACGTAATTGTGCCAACATGATGCTGTCACCGGTTGTCAGGACGTTTTATTGAAGCGTCTGAAATGCCAAACAACGCACAGAAGGCAACAGACATCCGGACAACAGCAGTTGGTAGCTGAACATCTGTTCACTTCGACTTGGAAAGCAGGTGGATGATGATAACAGCTGTACGCCATAAGTGACTTGCCACAGCCGTTGTGTGCCCGTGGGCATGGTGTCGCGGGAGCTTCACCGTGAGATCATGGGATCAAGAGCGGATCAAGGACTTCATTATCGAAAATACTAAGCCTTAGTGTATTTCCCCCTGAAGCCCTCCCGCCCCCCCCCCCCTGCACAAAAAGCCACCGTATTTAGGCCACTTTTCAGATTTTTGTTTGAATTAAGACGCCATGTACTGCCTGAATGGTTTCCTCAATTTAGCTCACTTTTGTATGTTGAACTTGTTTCAATAAAAAAAGAAGCTTGAAAATATCAGAAGATACAATTCATCATGCATCTAGAGGCAAACAGAATTTAAATCAAGTAAGAATTAAATGACTGTATGAAGGAAACAGCGGGTCCATTTAATTTTACGATGACTTATTCGTGCCCTTCTATTAAACCATGTAACAGTCAGGGGCGTTAGTGGATATTCGGATCCGTATTCAAACGTCTAATGTTCATAACGTCCATCGGTCAAAACGTCTAGAATCGCAGCATGCAGGGGTTACAACATCCAGAAACCACCTTAAGTCCCTGGATAAAGGAGAATCAGAAAGTCCAAGCGCGCAGCGTCCAGGGCCGCAGCATTCAGGGCTCAAAACGTCCAGCGTTCGTAAAGTCCAGCGTTCCTGAGATCCAGGGATTAGGAACTGTCCCACTTCCGCGCAACCCTTTACGTAATGGCTCGGATATTGCCCGATAGAGGGCTACTCTAGCCGATTTCGCCCGTCTCAGCCGACGAGTGACGTCATACAGTACAGTGCTGCCCAGTTAAAGCACTGTGCATGGATATGGACAACGTTTGGTTTGAACACGCAAACTTAACCGCGCCAGTGCGCCCTTGGCAGCAGGCACATTAAATAATCCAAAGCTTTGATCTCTGGCACCTGACATGACACGTGACATCAAGTGACATCACTGGCGCGTAATGGCGGCAGGTTTCTGCCCTTTAATTTGATTTCTCCACCATTTGAGGCAGAGGCAGGTTTGAGGCAGGTTGAGGTGAGGTAGGCAGAGGCAGGTGTTGCAAACCGTGTTTTAATCACGGGAGACACATGCAACCAAGAAGTAGAGCGCGAATGTGTCAGTTGATATCATGTGAGGCTTGCAAATATGTGGTTGGTGGTGATATCCCTTCTGCATGTATTTTGTCGTACGTACGTATATGTAAGTACCTACTCTCGCTGACCTACACATTATGTTATTGCTGCATTTGGAATCGGCAATGATGTTTCGTGAAAAGGCTGATCATTAATAAGCCGATAAATACAACCATGTGAGGCGAGAATGCTTGCTTCCTACCAAATTTGCTGGCTTCTTGTTTCATCTCGCACTTAGCCAGCCTCCGAAAAGTAACGCTGACGCGGCAAGTCATGATCTGTTTGGCGTCCGGTGCTCGACGACTACGGCGCTTGAGAAAGTCAAATTGGGAAACGTCCCAGCCCGACCAATTATGAATGTCATTAGAACATTTTCATTCATGCCGCCGAACCTCACGCGCTTGACGACAGGCGGCTTGGCACGAATGAAAATATCGCGAATGATCAGCTGATCGGCCGCTGCAACCAATGTGGCCGTAACCGCGTAAGTCAGACTGCAGTGAACCAGGCTTCTCGCGTAGTGTAGTGTCGCATAGTGTAGTGTATATATATATATATATATATATATATATATATATATATATATATATATAATAGATGTGCTGACAAAACTGTTTAATATGCACAGTTCGCTTCATTGTTTTGCTAAGCCTTTGGTAATGAAGGTACGCACAGCGTGTGCTCAAGGCAAGGGTAGTAGAGATGACATTGAGCGCTGCATACTGCAAATGTTCTTGAAACGGGAGGCGCGATGGGTATGCAATAGGCGTTTAGCAGCGGGCCTCATGTAGCAGCACAGCGTGCGTACCTGAGCCGCTGCTGGGCACTTGTTTATTTGAAGGAAACATGCGTTTAGAGCCTGGGTGGGAACAGTTTAGAGGCACCATGGCCCAGTACACACATGTCTCGTGCGAAGGAGGCGCCAGTAAAAACGACGCTTTTCGGAACTAAGAATTGGGTTTTACAGTCAGAAATATAGCACGGTATTTAATCATACCCACGCCAAATTGACATAAATGGAGCTTACGCATGGAGCTGAGTGGCAAATTAGGAAAGGAACGACGAGTTACGCTTTGAGGCGATGAGGCGTATCTTGTCAACCAACTTTGACGAATGGCGGATCCAGAGTGGTATGGGGTGCGAGGTGGGGGTGAATGGAACTTTGCTCCCCGTCCCTTAGGGCCAGGTGGCACCCAAATGTCATGGTGAGGGGCCGACGAAATCCTTATTTCAGGTCCACAAAGCCTTTATTTTCAACAGACTCCAGAATTTCACGGGCACCACAAGTGACTACAAACATTTATTTTCGGTAGGCGCCGAAAACCCGTTGACACCATAACCGGCCAAGAACCTTCATTCTCTAACGGCACCAAATTTCATGGATGCAGCAATGTTGTGTGTTGACGAAATCCTTGATTAGCCCTTTGGGCTAGAGGACACCAAAATGGTCAGTTTGGAACACCATAACTTTCGTTTTTTGGCATCATAACCTTTTTTAAAGAGGCCCCTTATCTAAGTGGATGATTAACATTTCCTAAAACTTGGTTTTAATCAGCGTCCAAAATCCATGGACACCACAATATCTATACCTTTCACCTTTGCAAAATTCTGGATCTGTCACTTCCACGAACGAGCACCAAAAAAATTAATTACCACGCATCACAGCTTTTATTTTCCAGAGGCACATAGTTCCTGAGGAATCACAAAGCGAGGGCAGGTCAGGAGGGGAAGGGCCAAAAGGTCATTTCCTTCCCCTATGGGCCCCATGATATGTTAATGCCCCAAAGGCTTACCAGATCTCATTTTAAAGGGGCAGCAATACCATCATTGCGGCACCACATAACCTGTATTTCTATGAGACAACGAAATTGCAGGGGCACCACGACGCTCGTGCCGTGCCCTTGACGAAACGCTGTGTCGGCCCATTTGGCGAGGGAGTACCAAATCCTTCATTTCGGAGCAACACAGAGTCTTTATTTTCAAGAAGCACCCAATTCCAGAGAGTACTAGAAAGGGCCATGTCCTTTATTCTGGAAGAGCCATGAATTCCAGGGACACAACTTTGTTGATATTCCGCGCTGAAAGAATCCTGGATCGGACCCTGGGGCAAGGAGGCACAAAAACCTTTCTTGCGGGGCAGTATCAGCTTGATTTTCAAGGGGTACTAAATCAAAACGAGCCATCAACAAAGACCAAAATCATAATTTTAGAGGGCACTAAAATCCAGCGGCATTACGATCGGTGTGCTTTTTACTTTGCAAAAATTATGAATCGGACCGTTCAGGGAAGGAGTCCCCTGTTCAGGGAAATAGGCGCCGAGAGCCTTCGTTGTCATTGGGGCTTCACGGAGAACTTAGCCGCTGAGGCTATATGGCGTCGCTTGCCTCTCACCCTGGTAGGAAGGGTGGGCACCACGAGGAATAGAACCTCGTATCTCTGGCTTCACAGACGCGCAGTTTTATCCAGGAGTCATCACAATGCCCGTGCCTCGCCGTTAACGCAATCCTGCATCGGTTCATTCGGCCAAGGAACACGTTTCTTTCGGACCACCACTCCATTTTTTTCCTTGCGGCACCAAATGCAAGTGGGCGATTGAAAGAACCATTGAAGAAGGTCCGAAACTCCCCTTCCAAGCGGCACCACAGCATAGGGTCATCACAATTTCCTTGCCTTACACTCTGACAAAATCCTGGTTCGGAACCTTGGATGAAAAGGCATGCTGAACCTTGTTTCCGGGGCATCATAACATTTCTTGAGTGAACCTATTTCAATCAGAACACTACAAACGGACGAAACATTTATTTTAAGGCGATGTAAAATTCCAGGGGCCCGTCACATGGGCTCCAAAGCTTTATTTTCGCGGGAAACCAAATTAAACACGACTCCCTCCCTCCCTACCTCTTAGACTCCGAGGTTCCCATGGATTCCGAGTGTCCTACTTTGGTCCCTTGGGGCTAAAGATCAATGGCCTGATTGAAGGGTCCGAAGGGCAGGCCAGAGATCGCATGGATGGATCACATCCCAAAGGCCGGACCCTGAAATGTCAGAGCAGATCCAACACTGATCGGAGGCTCCGTGCCACTGTG